TTAATCCTATATCAAAATGAAAAATTAAATCAAAGGTTAATAAAATATATACTAAAATTTTACGAAGAAATCAATGATAATTCGTTAATCCAAGGCCACAAATTATTCTACAAAAATATCGAAACGCTCAAATATTTTTCTACAAATTCTAAAAATCAAGAGTGAGATTCAAAATCGAGTTTCAATTTTTTAAATTCAAAAGTACAAATATAAAATTTATTATCTACTAATAGAGCTTACAAAATCCTTTCATTGATAATAGGAAGTAATGGTCCTAATAATGGATATCTACATGGTCCCAAACTTCCCATGCCTTTAATTTTGGCATTTTTTAATTTTTAGATTTTTCGTTCGATATCTGATATCAATATTAGAATTTAACTAAGTTTTAATTCGCATTGAAAATTTTTATATTAAAAGATGAAATTCTTTTTAACAAAGATAATTACATATTTAAAAGAAATAAAAAACGAGATTTTTAATTAAAGAATAAATATTTACGATATAACTCCACCGTGACATTTATTTTTAAATAAAAATATGAAAAGTCCCCATCACCAATTATATCTTTTTATGTTGGGCATTGTGATGAAATATGGAGTTTGATAATTGGAAGGATATATCATAAAGGGGCTTAGGAATTGACAATTTTAAAATGCCAATACTATCTTATTAAATGTACTTTTAGATTAACATTAAAGGCCTGTTACATGGTCCCACATTTACACATTTATCGAGGCATCTTCTATTTCGTAGCTCACTGATTCGACTAATCTAAATTCATGTCGATGAGATTTATAATATGGTTATTTAATTTATCACAAAATTATGTCGTGATTATATCTGTAAAACTATAAATAGTATTATAATCTTATGTTCTATATAAATGGATCGATCTTAGCTAATATAAATAAGGAACATAAAATAAATACAATTTCAAATTTTTTTTATCGAGATTAGTATTCACGTTGTGGTAACGAAATGAAACTTATTGCTTATTAAAATTGTATTCAATTCAAGATTTGAATTCGGGAATTCAAATGAAGGATGCATAATATGAACTGGTCCTGATAATGAAACAACCTTTCTAGATACATCGTTATTTATCTAGATTGTACGCATTCTTAGTTTTGAATATGAGATATCAAATCAAGAATGAAGAAATCTTATATATCTCATCATAATAAAAAATACGATTCAGTCCTCAGAAAAAAACAACCAACTTCTAAGTGCAACATTGCTTATCAAGATTGTATTAATTCTTAAATTTGAGTTTGAGACATCAAATGAAGGATTAAAAAAAATCTTGCATTCAATGTAGTTATGATATACTTTCTTAATTTATGTTACTTTTAGCACATATATAATTAAGTAAATTATATATGTTGAAAGGAAAAAAAAGAGAATTGAGATAAATTATATATTTTATGCCTTCAACGTTTTAACAAGAAGTACTAGTGGTCTAGTGGTAGAATAGTACCTTGCCACGGTATAGACTCAGGTTCGATTTCTGGTTGGTGTATTTTTTTTTGAGTGTAATAGATAAATCATCAATCGATTCAATCTGGCTCCGCCCTTGGCTTAAACTTTTTAAGATACTATTCCCTCCGTTTTAAAAAGGATGACCTATTTGATTTGAAACGGAGTTGAAGAAAAAAAAGAAAACTTTTTAATCTTGTAGTTCTAAATTAAAGTTATGTCAAATGTACCAAAATATCCTTTAATCTTGTGGCCTTAAACATGTCACGTGAAAAGTTAAAGTTAAAGTGTTACGAAAAAAGGAAAGGGGTCATTCTTTTTTAAACAGACTAAAGAGGAAATAGAATCAGTCTTTTTGAAACGGAGAAAGTGTAATTTATAGATTAGTCTTTTTAACTTATTTGCGTGCTTATTTTTTTTTTTTTGTAGTTTGATTTTCTTTATTGAATTTCCTCAATTGCATTTGAGTCTGTCTTTGACATTCACGTAAATTCTAGTTTGGCTTCATAAAACTTTTTATGTACATTATAATTTATAAAGGGAATCACAAAAACACTCCTAAACGTAGTGCAAATTATTAGGTTTATACCTGAACCTTAAAAGTGTTTCTCTACTTGACTAACTAAACTTAGATACACCCCCGATATACTCTTGATATGCAACATGTCATAGTAAGTGGTCTCAAACTCTTGTAGGAACATGAAGTTCTTAATAAAAATCAAAAGAAGTGTTGAAAACACCCCTTAACTTGACGAGAACTTAGGGGTATATGTCACTAATTTTGCAAGAACGGGGGTGTATTTAGCTTCAATTAGTCAAGTAAAGGGATGTTTTAAGTCTTCAATAGTTTAAGGATGAAACTAATAATCTGCGTCAAAGTTAGGGATATTTTTAATATTTCTCTTTAATTTATATGTTGAATCTTTGTAAACTTATTTGTGTGCCTATTTTTTTTGTAGTTTGATTTCCTTTATCGAAACCCTTCGATCTTGTCTGATTTTGCCATTGACATTCACGTAAATTCTAGCTTGGCTTCGTAAATCTTTTTGTGTATATTACAATTTATGTTTGTGGTAACAAGATGAATCTTAGGTAAATCATTGCTTATCAAAATTGTATGTATTTGTCTCTATATTTGAAACGGAGATTTTAAATAAAGGATAAAAGAATCTTGTACATCTCGTCACAATGCATAAGATAATTTAGTCTTGGTAACGAAACGACCTTTTGATGACTCTTAGGTGAATCAAGATTTTATATGTTCCTAGATTTGAACATGAGATCTCAAACGAAGGATGAGAAAATCTTATACAACTTATCACAACGTATAAGACAATCTAGTCTAAGTAACAAAACAATCTCAAGGTAAAACATTGTTTATTAAGATTGCATTTATTCCTAGATTTGAATTCGAGATTCCAAGTAAAGAATGAAAAGACCTTATACATCTCATCACAATGCATAAGATCCATTTTAGGGAAGTGTTCCTCATCAAAATTTTGTCAATTTTGAAGGCACGAAATCAAAATTTCTTATTTGTGACCAAAAAAATTATATATATCCCGCTACAAGTCAAATTTCAGCTAGAATTATAAGTTTTATACATCCTTCATTAAACAAATGACACTAGTGACTTAGTGGTAGGACAGTACACTGCCACAGTACAGACCCGAGTTTGATTCCTTGCTGTGGTGCATTTTAAAGCTATGACGACTAAAGCACAAATTGCGAAGTTGAGTCTTCATAGAGGTCTGACATATAAAGATTGTGTCGGATTTTAATTTTCATCAAACACACTTTTTAAACTTGACCAGTTAACTAGGTCTCTCAAACTCTTTAAAAACATAATTATGACAACTTTTGAAAGTCAAAGCGATATAGCTAATTAGTATAGTGAATTTAGTTGATTTTCATATACTTTCTTTTTTATTAGGAGGAAGTAAAAACAAACGTAATTACTATTCAATAAATTCTTTTATATACCTGTCTAGAATTGATAAAAAGGAAATATAAATTAGAAGAAGAAAAAATAGTAATAATTTGTGCCTGTAATAAATCATCTAGTATTTTTAAGACTAAAAATATTTTATATTAGAAAAAATGTACATGCCCTCATACGTTTTTTTAACTAGTCTTTGCTCACGTGCAACACACGTGTACCCTATTAATTAATATTTCGTTTTTTAAATGATATAAGTATATAATATATAAATGAGGCATAAAGTAGATTTTTTAGAAAAATAATCATAAACTTGAAACAATGAAGGGTGACATGTATACTCCAAATTTTGTGAATTAATTGAAACGTCAAGTAATATTACCCTATTATCAAATATAGATATGAGAACCATATATTTATTCACTGGTCTTGTATTACATACACTTGTATTATATATATGCATGACTTTTCAATTTAATTGATACCATAAAAGTGAGGGTCAACCTTATTATTTTAATTGTTATCACAAAAGTGGCATTACTACGATGACTTTCTGAAAGTTAATGTCTCTATGATCCTATACTATGTGTTGACAGTAATAACTACATTTCTTAAAGGATGAAAAAGTTCGTCAAAGAACCAACAAAAATTGAAATTTCAAGGTAAAAAATAGAAAACTATCACATAACGTATAAAATTGAGCAATACCTCGAGAATACATTTCAAAATTACTAAAAATAGTCAAAAAATAAATAATAAAGAAACATTCAATGATATAACATATTAACAAGACCACACAAAAATAAAATAATAACTGTGTAAACCTCTTCTAGTCTAGATTGAAACCATAATGAGGCTAAGCATATCAAATACCATAAAACCAATAAAAAAAGTTGATATTCAAAGAATACATCAAAATCTAACATTAAGAAAGAAGAATCAAAAGCAAATAACACTAAAAAGGTCACACAAAATTAACAAATTGTATTTACAGATTCTTAGCACAATTTGATGAAAACAAGATCAAAAACTTAAAGAAAATATATTAAAATACAATAAACAAAATCAAGATTAAATAAATAAAATAATAAAAAAGAAAAAACATAAAGATTCAATAGGAATGGAATTACCTTTAGTGTCTATACTACTTCTTGTATATCTTTTCTCTATTAACAACAAAAGGTGATAAAGAAATAATCACTGACACAGTCTCAAGCTAAAATTAAATTGATTTTTGATAAAGAAGAATTGATATACGCATTTATTGAGTAGCCAAATAATTTTCTACCACAATTAGTTTCGATACATTAATTTTTAAATATGTAAATTTTAATTTTACTATAGATAAATAAAAAGTTAATATCTCAATTCTCAATCATATTTATGTTTAATAAAAAATCGATAATATCATAATAAATAAATTTAACATGAAATTTTATTTCGAAATATTTATGTCTAATCTATTCGGGCCACCAAACGATCCCATATGTGACTATTGATTATACTGTTGGGGAACTTCAATTTCTCTCTGCTCAGTGACTTTAAGTTGTTGCCACTCATAAAGGTTAATACTGAATCTTGATTTTGGTAGTATATTTCTTAATTTGCTGTAATGGGTGTAGAAATTATCTGAAATTGAGTTTGTTTTCTTTATGGACCCAAATGTTTTCTTGAGCTGATTCATCAAGTTCTTGATTTTAGAAATTATCTGAAATTGAGTTTGTTTTCTTTATGGACCCAAATGTTTTCTTGAGCTGATTCATCAAGTTCTTGATTTTAAATAAGAAATGGGGAATCAAACTCTTATTGGGGAAAGTTTGGGTAGCTAACGGAGTGAGTTACTAAGATACTCCTGTTTCTTGTTGTTTATGTATGAAAAAATGTACCTTTTTTATTTATATTTCCTTGATAAAGATGGTAGTAGTGTATTTAGATATGCTTGTTTTGGTGAAGTGTTCTGTACAGTGGCGGAGCTAGGATTTGGAAGTATGAGGTCTGGGTTCTAAGATTTAACTTTCTCAAGTGCTAGTAATTGGATTGTGGATTTATTTGGTGATTTTTTTTAAAATGCATATACATGATTTGAACCAAAGATATATGCTAACTCTATCAATGTGTCTGTGTATCTGCAATCTTGTTTGTTGGTGATGGGGGAAGTTGGTTATCTCATTGAGTGGTTGAATTTTAAGGTAGCGGAAGTAGAATAATGTTGTGAGGATGAGACCACTGACTTATAAGTTATGTTGCTCGGATTCTCTTCAAGGTGTGTGTTTGGTACTCCAAAAATAGTGCCTTTTTGAAGGATTTGACAGGGGCGTATTTACATATGGTTATTTGGTTGATTGGTCTGTGTATCTGGATCCAGAGGCGGAGCAAAGAAAGGTAAAGGGGTTCAATTGATTCCGTTCGCTTAAACAATGTTTTATTGAATCCCTCGACTCAGAGGTGGATCCAAATTTTAAACTTAATGGTTTCAAGTTCAAAACTTTTGTTGCATCCCATTCAAATGCATTATCTGTTCTTATTTAGTGAATCTTTTAACATATATACTAGGTCTGAGCTAAAGTTACTGGTGTAGATGAACTCGTAAATTGTGAACTACATCCACTCCTGCCTTGCGTGAGGAAAGATTCTAGTGTAGTGGTAAAGGGGGTTAAAAATTGTTTTAGGTCATAGGTTCAAATCCTTGGTGTAAACTCTAGTATTTATAGCAGAGACCAAGTAGTTGAGGGTTAAGACGTAGTTGATTGATTGATTCATATAACTAGTTCGAGCTGAAGACAGTTCGTTCAGATTGTGGGGGATGAGGGTTAAAGACTGATAAGTCTGAGTTCAGTACATTGAGGTCCTTCGGACACGGAATGCCCTTTGTTTATAGGCAAATATGGGTATCATGTTTGATTCCCCCTTGCCGAGTTCACAGAATTTGTCATGTTATATGATATTATTGTTTTTATTGGAAGTGTATTATTCTTTTGTTCTCTTCTCAGTTTTTAAGTGATTATATCTTTCTAGTCTTAGTTCTTCATAGGATAGATTTGAGAGAATGCACCTTGTTAGGTATTTTGTTCTTCCCTGGATTGACATGAGAAGTTCCACATGTTTTCAGCTTCAGGAGTATTGACTTCTAGTAATTATTGATGGAACCAAACTGCCCAACATCTAGCAACGATTATGCTGCTGACATCTCTTCCATCAGGCAAGCTCAAGTACGCATCGAGCCCTTTGCGCACAGAACTCCTGTAATCACCTCAGAAACTTTAGACTCTATTGCTGGAAGAAAGTTGTACTTTAAATGTGAATGCTTTCAGAAGGGGTGAGAAGCTCTTTATCATAGAGTGGAAGGGTTTTCTTTCAAAGTAGTCCTGCATAAGTGTGTAGTAGTGAACTAGAGTTTCTGCCTAAGGGTTCTAATTAAGGGCCAGCGTTTGTGCAATTTATCAGGGGAGCTTTTAAATTCCGAGGGGCATGCAATGCTATTTATTCACTTGATGATGATCATGCTGCTAAAGGAGTTGTAACTCATAGCAGGTTCTTGCAGATCTTTCTGGTTTCTGTGGTTTAATATCTATATTTATTTTTCTGGATTACATCCTGATCTACTTCTTTTTATATTTAGTGGAAATCATGCTGCAGCTCTTGCTTTGGCTGCAAAGCTACGGGGCATCCCTGCTTATATAGTTATACCAAAAAATGCTCCAAAATGCAAAGTCGAGAATGTCAAACGTTATGGTGGTCAGGTTATCTGGAGTGAGCCATCGATGCAGTCCCGAGAGGATACTGCAAACAAGGTGTTGCAAGATACTGGTGCTGTTCTTATTCATCCCTATAATGATGGTCGCATTATAAGGTAACATTGGTTTTCTTTGTTATTTTTTATTAGATGATACTTGGTACTTCCCCCTTCTCAACTACAAAATAGATTGAGAGGGGCCTGAAAGCCCGCAAAGAAGCCTTAAGAGTATTCGTGTGCACGTGTTTTGTTAAAATTCTATCTCCTGCCTAAGACAAACTGAGCCTTATATCTCACTTTATGTGTTAATGATCCCTCTGTATGATGATTTCATCTTTCTCGACATTTGCAGCAATTTCATTACGAACTATTCCAAGTCAACCTTGAACTTCTAATCGAACTGTATGGAATAGTAGTTTTTGGTATTCCAAATATACTTCTTCCCCAAAAAATGAACCTTTTTGCTAGGAATCTAGACAATATGATCTGTGCTGATGAATATTTCTCCATTTCATATGTTTTTTTTTGTGGTCTATACAGTGGGCAGGGTACAATATCACTGGAGCTTCTGGAACAGGCTTCTGAAATTGACACCTTAATAGTCCCAATAAGCGGTAAATCAACTTTTTAAAGACTTCGATGTATCATTTTCTTCAAATTTTAATTTGTAGACCAGCCTCAGTTACTGGTATGGAATGAAGGTGGTGGTCTGATATCGGGAGTTGCGTTGGCTGCCAAAGCCATTAATCCTTCCATTCACATTTTTGCCGCCGAACCAATGGGAGCAGCTGATGCTTTCCAGTCGAAGATCAATGGCAGGATCACTAAGTTATCCGAGGTCAACACTATTGCCGATGGGCTTCGAGCCTTTCTTGGAGACCTTACATGGTAAGGTTTTATCTCCTTCTACTCTAAATTACTGTGCCTGTTTAAAGCTTTTAGCAATCAAGATCAAAGTTTTGTTGGCGGCAAGATCAGCATGACTCAATGTTTTAGAGATCGTGCTAATTTTTTCAACTATGTTGCTTAGATTCTTCAAAAATACTATGGGTATGCATTTTTGAGGATCCCACCCAAGTGAGGCAACATCTTTGGAGGTTCCAACCAACAGAATTTTTTGGTTCTCAAATTTAGTGTATTTACCCCTGCACTGATGAAGCCTCTTGGTCCCTTTTTCCCAAGCCCTTCTACCCGCTAGCTCTTTTTCTATCACTTATATGGAGATTTCTAACAAGATAATTTGATATCTTTGCGTTTTCTAACACACTCTTGATAACTTTGCTTTTTCTAATGAGCCAATTTGATAAATGGTATCTGGCATTCACCTTTACTGTCGAACAGGCCTATCGTCCGTGATCTCGTGGATGACGTCATAGTTGTTGATGATGAAGAGATAATACAAGCTATGAGACTTTGCTATGAAATTCTAAAGATTGCAGTGGAACCAAGTGGAGCTATTGGCCTTGCAGCAGTTCTTTCCAGTAGTTTTAAAACAAATCCAGCCTATAGTAAATGCAATAATATTGGCATTGTAATTTCTGGAGGCAATGTTGATCTTGGTGTGCTTTGGAATTCCGTTAACAAATGAGAAACTATGTATTCAATCTCTCCCCTCATTGGAACAAACTTTTATATGATTCATGTATTCTTGCAATTTCTTGTTCTTTGTTTTATGTTTCACATTATTTGTTTTTTTTACTGTTCTTTTGTTCTGAATGCTCTGTACTGCTTTTTTTTTTAGTTGTCATTTTCTCGCTACTGTCTTATTTTCTTTTCTATAACTGCTTGCTTTGGTGCTCTTGAGCCGATGGCCTTTTGGAAACAACCTCGCTACCTCCACAAGGTATGGGATAAGGTCCGCATATACTCTATCGTCCCAGACCCCACTTGCGGGATTACACTTGGTATGGAAGTTCCATCGAATGTTGAGTCGATTTCTGTGATTTCAGCTACTGAGTATTGGGGTATCTTCCTGCTCAGGTACTGTAAGTTCTTTCCAGCCATTAAGGTTCATTCTTTCCCTCTTAGTTCTCTTTCTATTTTCAGTGTCTACTATATACTAATACTGGTTCTTGATTTTAGTTTTTTTTTAAAAAAATTGCTGTAATGGGTGTAAAAATTATTTGAAGTTGAGTCTGTTTGTCATGGACCCAAATGGATTTTTGAGTTGATTCAGTAAAGTCGAGAATGTCAAATGTTTTGGTAGTCAGGTTATCCCGAGTGAGCCATTGATGCAGTCCCGAGAGGATTCTGCAAACAAGGTGTTGCAAGATACCGGTGCTGTTCTTTTCCTTCCTTTAATGCCGGGCGCTTTATAAGGTAACACTGTTTTTCTTAATCATTTTTGAATAAATGATACTTGGTTCCACTCTGTCATTATTCCGGTTATAGTAATATATCTGATACATGTATTATTACTCATATTTTTATCATACATATTGTGGCAAAATACAATGTTTATTATCTCATACATATTGTGGCAAAATATAATAATAAATGTATACAATCGAGAAGAAAAAAAATTCAATCAAACCCTCTGTGGATCATATTTGGGTAATGTCTAGAAATTTGTGTGTGTCTGGAAAGGGATAAGTTACCTAACCAAGTGCTCTCTTACCCTACACTTGTGTCCTTGATAGAATGGGTTGAAATTTCTTTTTTCCCCTTTTCGATACATGTATCTTAAACAATCTCTTTCCTTTCTTATTATCGATACTTGCATCTTCTGCAACAACTTTCAAATTCTTTGATTTTTTTGTTGTTGTTCATCCAATGACTGCATTTTTATGGGGTCATTGCAGAACTTAGTTCTCCTCATGGCTTTTAAAGCAGCAACAACCCCTGCATTGTTATCTTCTTGAGTGAAAATGCACAAAACAAAGTATGGACAATCTTGATAAGAATGTTGGTTAGAAGGAAATACCTCGAGAAAGACTCTTAGGAGTAGAAGCTTCCGCCATTGATACACAGAAAAAAGCTTGAGAAGCCCCCTAAAATAATTCAAATTAACAACTTGATGTCTGAGAATCTGGAGAAGAAACTATTAGATACACATAACCAACATATTTATGCAAAACCGTTACATAACTGGAAAAATCATTGTACCACGAATTGAGGAATAAGCAAAATTGCGAGATTGAGAACAGGAGCAAATTAAGGGAAGTGGGATTTGGTAAGAGAGTTAACCGATAGATACAATGTATTAAGCCTTGAGGGGAAAGGAAACAAACTAGTTAATTTGCAATAAAATGGTAACTGACGCCACATTTGGTAATATTTTGGAACTACTACTATGTATTTTTAGGTATAGTAACTATATTTGCTTATTTAGGTAATTAATTTATGTGTGAAGAAGTGGGCTAGACCCATTAATCCTTGAAAAGGGGAAGGAAACAAGCTAGTGAATTTGCTATAAAATGCTAAGTGACGCCACATTTGGTAATATTTTAAAACTAGTACTATGTATTTTTAGATATAGTAACTATATTTGCTTATTTAGGTAATTAATTTATGTGCGAAAAAGTGGGCTAGACCCATTAATCCTTGAAAGGGGAAAGGAAACAAGGTAGTGAATTTGCTATAAAATGGTAATTAACGCCACAATTGGTAATATTTTAAAACTATAACTATGTATTTTTGATATAGTAGCTATATTTGCTTAGTTGGGTAACTAATGTATGAGTGAAGAGGGGGGAGAAAAGGTGGGAACAAAGAAAAATATCATCCAAAATAGTGGGACAATATATTAAATAGGAAATAAATCCCATTCACCTAGGAAATGTCAAGCCTAAGAAGTTTACTCATAAAACGCATTTGGTAGTTGCAATTTACCAAGTGCACTTTAACAGTTTTGGTTATTTTCAGGATAGGTTCATTACATGACATAATACATGTAGAACTTCACATAAGACACATTGTCATATGGAATTCCAACGTAAGATGAATGCATCTATTTATACAATTTTATACAAGTTTAAGTATTTGCTTGCATATCCAAAATTGGAGGACATATACGTCAATTGGAGTCAAGTTGAGGGTACATTGATGTATTATGTCTTATATATCTCATATACTTATATGTTGATAAGAATAAATGGGTCTAGCCTCCTTTTTCACTCATAAATTTAGTTACATAAATAATCAAGTATAACTACTATATCAAAGATACATGGTTATTGTTTTAAAATAGGGAAAAGGGTCTGATGTACCCCTCAACTTTGTTATTTGGAGCTGATATACCCCTCGTTATAAAAGTGGCTCATATATGCCCTTACCGTTATACAAACGACTCACATATACCCCTGCCATTACAAAATGGCTCACATATACCCTTCATTTAACGGAAGTTAAAAAATTAGTTTTAAATTTATATTTATTACTTCTAATTTTTTTTTTTAAATTTAGGGGTATATATGATTCTTCTATCAAAGTTCAAGGTATATTTTAATTTTTTTCATACATAAATTATTTTTTGACTTCTTTTATCATAATTATTTGAATTTCTTATTCTTATTTTGTTTTTTTTCTTTTATTCCTTAGTTTAGAGAATAAAAAATTAAACTATTTTTTTTTGTGTGTATTGTAATTTAATTTCGTATTCGAAAAAAAAATTTGGTCATCTACAATAAGTTTTACAAGAATATTAGTGAAACATAAATAAATTTGATTATCAAAATAATAATTATAAATTAGTCATTGAAACAAAAAAAAAGTAAAAAAAAAATATGTTTGACGAGGATTAAATTTAATCATATGCGATTATATTTTTTAGAAAAAAATAATAAAAATTTAGATTAAAATTATTATTTTTTTCATTTCCGTTAGAGGAAAAGGGTTAATAAAAATTTAGCTTAAAATTATTATTTTTTTCATTTCCGTTAGAGGAAAAGGGTATATGTGAGCCATTTGTTTACAAGTAGGGGTATATATGAGCCACTTTCATAACAAAGAGTATATCAGCTCTAAATGACAAAGTTGAGGGGTATATCAGACCCTTTTCCCTTTAAAATATTACCAAATGTCGCGTCAGTTACTATTTTATAGCAAATTCACTAGCTTGTTTCCTTCTCCTTTTCAAGGATTAATGGGTCTAGCCCACTTCTTCACTCATAAATTAGTTACCTAAACAAGCAAATATAGCTACTATGTCTAATATAGTGCAAATATAGTCCAGGACTATATTTGTACTTGAATATTAAGAAAAGCTACAAACTTGATGAAGAAAAAAAATGATATGTGAGCTTTTCTTGAAACAAATGAAAAGGGAATTTAACTAAAACAAACATCTAATTTCTTGATCTTCTACTTGAATCCTTGCAATTTTTGGGGTATGACAAGTGAGCTTTTCTTGAAACAAATATAATTAGCATAATAAACTAAATCTTCATTTGGCATTACAACACAAGAAACTCAAAAAAAGCAAATTTAGGGCAACACTCTAATTTTAGTTTTTCACATGTCTAAACCACCAGATTAAAGTGGGATTTGGTAAGAGAGTTAACTGATAGATACATACAGTGTATTCAGCCTTCAAAAAGGGGAAAGGACACAAGCTAGTGAATTTGCTATAAAATGGTAAGTGACGTCACATTTGGTAATATTTTAAAACTATATGTATTTTTGATATAGTAGTTATATCTGCTTATTTAGGTAACTAATTTATGTGCGACGAAGTGGGCTAGGCCCATTTAGTCTTATCAACATATAAGTATATGAGACATATTAGGGTAAGAGAGCTCTTGGTTCTTTTGAGAAAAAGCTTTTTGCTTGAAGGAAGGGTCTGAAACTTTATTTGAGCCGATAGTGAAGCTCTCGTCAATTTAAGCTTCAGGTTAGAATTTACTTGGTTCATAGCTTTATTGGTTGCTTTTTAAAATTTTTTGTTGATAAGGATATGCTAGAACTTGATAGTGATATAATGTAGAGTCCAAATGGAGCAGATGATGAGAGAATCAACTGTGATAATGGTCACATCCATTTTCCATGTAACTGCTTTCTTTTGATGGTTCTTTTGAAAATGTTTTGTGTAGTAAGAAATGACGATGATTTAATGATTCTATAACGATTCGTGTATGGTTTAGATGTTTTACTTTGGAACAAGAATATTACTATATACATTGATATATTAAAATTAAATATTTTGATGGATTGTGGTAATGAGATATGCTTTCAGCTTTAGATTTATGATTTGAGGCGTAGAATATTGAGATTTGGCCTCAAGTTTGAAATTTAGGGAAATTGAGATTTAACCCATCATTTGACATTAAAATTTAAACTTGATTATAGATTTGGACTCCGTGGCTTATGGGTAACGTATCCATAATCCATCATTTCCCTTGGTTGATCGTTGAGATCAAAAGAATTTCCTTTCTCATGAAGTCTGCTCAGGCTATTTGTCTTGGAGGCGTGTTATTCTTGTGTTTGTTCTCAAAATCAACTGATTATATATTTCTTGTCTTAGATCTTCACTTGATAGACTTGAAAGATTCCACCTTGTTTGGTATTTTTGTTCATTGATCTTCCCTGGACTGACTCAAAAAATATCACATGCTTACAGCTTCGCGATTGTTAACTTCCAAAGTAATCATTGATGGAACCGAATCACACAAAATCTAGTGACACTTATGCTGCCGATATCTCTTCCATCAGGGAAGCGCAAGTACGCATTAAACCCTTTGCTCAACAAACCCCTGTCCTCACCTCAGACACGTTAGATTCTATTGCTGGAAGAAAGCTGTACTTCAAATGTGAATGCTTTCAGAAGGGGTGAGCAACTCTTTAACATAGAACGCCAGGGATTTTCTCAAAGTAGTTCCTATATAACTGTGTTGTAGTGAATTAAAGTTTCTGATATTTTCGCTTCTAATTAAGAGCCATTTGTTCTTGCAATTTATCAGGGGAGCTTTCAAATTCCGAGGGGCATGCAATGCTATTTTTTCACTTGATGATGATCAGGCCACTAAAGGAGTTGTAACTCATAGCAGGTTCATTCAGAGATTTCTGGTTTCTGTAATAAAAATATCTTCATTTTATTTTTTGGATTATCCCCTAATCTACTTCCCGTCGAATTCAGTGGAAATCATGCTGCAGCTCTTTCTTTGGCTGCAAAACTGCGGGGCATCCCTGCATATATAGTTATACCAAAAGATGCTCCAAAATGCAAAGTCGCGAATGTCAAACGTTACGGTGGTCAAGTTATCTTCAGTGAGCCATCGATGCAGTCCCGGGAAGATACTGCAAACAAGGTGTTGCAAGATACTGGTGCTGTTCTTGTTCCTTCCTCTAATGATAGGCGCATTATAAGGTAACGCAAGTCTCACTTTTTTCGCTAGGAATCTACACAGAATGATCTCTATTAATGAATACTTCTCTACTAATATGTTTCTTTATGATCTTTACAGTGGGCAGGGTACAATATCTCTGGAGTTTCTGGAACAAGCTTCAGATATTGACACTTTAATAGTTCCAATCAGCGGTAAATTCAACAATTTTAAGACTTTGATACATTATTTACTTGAAATTTTAATTTGTAAATCAGCCTCATTTTCTGATTCGGGATGAAGGAGGTGGTATGATATCGGGAGTTGCATTAGCTGCCAAGGCCATCAATCCCGCCATTCGCATTTTGGCTGCCGAACCACTGGGGGCAAATGATGCTTTCCAATCAAAGAGCAATGGTAGGATTACTAAGTTATCTGAAGTCAACACTATTGCTGATGGCCTTCGAGCTTTTCTTGGAGATCTCACATGGTAAAGTCGACCTCCTTCTACTATAATTTACTGTCTGCCTATTATAAGAAGCTTTTCCATAGTCAAAATCAAACCTTTCTTGAACTTCTGGCATTTACCTTTACCATCAACAGGCCTATTGTCCGTGATCTCGTGGATGACGTTATAGTTGTTGATGATAAGGAGATAATACAAGCTATGAAACTTTGCTATGAGATTCTGAAGATTGCAGTGGAACCAAGTGGAGCTATAGGCCTTGCAGCTGTTCTTTCAGATGGTTTTCGAAAAAATCCAGTCTATAGTGAATGCAACCATATTGGAATTGTTCTGTCCGGAGGAAACGTTGATCTTGGTGTGCTCTGGAATTCCTTTGATAAATGAGAAACTCTATTAGTCGCGAGAGGCAGATTCAGAATTTAAATTAGTAGTTAGAGTTTGGAATTTTGCCATAACTCATTTGATTTACTGGGTTCTGAATCAATTACCATTTGTTCTTCTTTAGTTGTGTTTTTTTATTATATACATTGTTCAATCCAAAGTTACTTGTTTCAGATGAATCCGTAACTTTCACTCTATGTCCATCCTTGGAAACAGATGTTATTCAATGTTTCAACTTTTCTATTATTGATCATAATTTTCAATTTTCGTATCGCCAGGATTCATCATAAATTGATTGACTATATGAATTATGATTGATTGACTATATGAATATTTATTGTTTTTTTTTGCACGTTAACTTCTTCTGTTGGTTACCTGCTAATAGTATCTGGTTCGAGCTTTAGTGAGGATTCATATCGTCAATCCTATTTTGTTCTAGGCTGAGACGTTATTGTTGTATTCTAGCATCGAATGTAGGTACTACTACAATTATTCTCAGGACAATATAAATATTTCTTTTTATGTATAATATATAGACAATCACGATCCCAGTTTGTATAATATTGTATTGATTTGCATAACTATATACACATGTAAATAGACACCTCTTGTTCTAGACTGAAATTGAGTTTGTTTTTTTCATGGACCAAATGTTTTCTTCAGCTGATTCAGCAAGTTCGTGATTTTTTAAATTAAAAATGGGAAAATGGAGAGGGGAAGACAGGGAATCGAACTCTTATTAACAAGGTGAAAGTTCGGGTAGCTAACCTAGTGGAGTTACTAAGATTCTCCTGTTTCTTGTTGTTTATGGATGAAAAACGTTAACTTTTTTTATTTTTATTTTCTTGATAAAGATGATAGTCGTGTATTTAGATATGCTTGTTTTGGTTAAGTGTTGTGTTAACAGAGGCGGAGCTGGGATTTGAAAGTTATAAGTTCTGGATTCTAAGATTTTACTGTCTCAAGTGTTAGTAATGGATTCTGAATTTATTTGGTGATTTTCCTAAATGCATATACATGATTTGAACCAAAGCTAGAGAATGCTGCCGAACCCCTGATAATGCTATCTCTATCCATGTGTCTCTGTATCTGCATCTTGTTTGTTGGTGATGGAGGAAGTTGGTTATCTCATTGAGGGGTTGGATTTTAAGGTAGCGGATGTATAATAATGTTGTGAGTATGTGACCACTGACTTATAAGTTATGTTGCTCGGACTCTCTTCAAGGTGTGTGTTGGGTCCTCCAGAAATAGTGCATTTTTGAAGGATTTGACAGGGGTGTTTTTACATATGGTTATTTGGTTGATTAGTTTGTGTATTATCTGGATCCAGAGGTGGAGCAAAGGTAAAGGGGTTCAATTGAATCCGTTTGCTGAAAAAATGTTTTATTGAATCCCTTGACACAGAGGCGGATCCAAATTTTGAACTTTATGGTTTCAAGTTCAAAACTTTGTTGCATCCCATTCAAATCCATTATCTGTTCTTATTTAGTGAATCTTTTAACATATATACTAGGTCTGAGCTAAAGTTACTGGTGTTGATGAACTCGCAAATTGTGAACTACATCCCTCGCGTGAGGAAAAATTCTAGTGTAGTGGTAAAGAGGTTGAAAAAAATTGTTTTAGGTCATTGGTTCAAATCCTTTGTGTAAACTCTAGTATTTGTAGCCAATACCAACTAGTTTAAGGTTGAGGCCTAGCTGATTGAGCGATTAGAATAACTAGTTCGAGCCGAAGACAGTTCGTTCAAATTGTGGGTGATCAGGGCAAAAGACTGATAAGTCTGAGTGCAGTACATTGAAGTCCTTTGGGACAAGGAATGCCCTTTGTTTCATAGGAAAATATGAGTATTACTGTCTGCCTATTATAAAAAGCTTTTCCATAGTCAAAATCAAACCTTTCTTAAACTTCTGGCATTTACCTTTACCGTCAACAGGCCTATCGTCCGCGATCTCGTGGATGACGTCATAGTTGTTGATGATGTAGAGATAATACAAGCTATGAGACTCTAAAGATTGGCCTTGCTGCAGTTCTTTCCAATAGTTTAAGACAAATCCAGCCTATAGTGAATGCAATAATATTGGCATTGTAATTTCTGGAGGCAATATTGATCTTGGTGTGCTTTGGAATTCCGTTAACGAATGAGAAACTCTGTATTCAATCTTCCCCTCGTTGGAACAAATTTCTATATGAATCATGTATTCTCGCAATTTCTTGTTGTTTGATTTTTGTTTCACATTATTCTTCTTCTTATTATTTTTACTATTCTTTGGTTCTGAATGCTCTGTACTGCTTTCCTTCTTAGCTGTCGTTTTCCCGCTACTGTCTTATTTTCTTCTTCTTTTTATAACTGCTTGCTTTGATGCTCTTGAGCCAATGGTCTTTCGCAAAAAACTTCGCTACCTCCACGAGGTATGGGTAAGGTCATATACTCTACCCTCCCAGACTCCACTTGTGAGATTACACTTGGTATGCAAAAAACCCCTGCATTGTTATCTTCTTGAGTGAAAATGCAGAAATCAAAGTATGGACAATCTTGATAAGAATGTTGGTTAGAGGGTAATGCCTCGAGTAAGCCTTTAAGGAGTAGAAGAAACCATTCGATACACATAACCAACATATTTGTTAAGGAATTGAGGAAGAAGCAAAACCATGAGATAGAGAATAAGAGCAAATTAAGAAAAGTAGGATTTGGTAAGATTTGAGAGAATTAACTGATAGACATACAGTGTATTAAGCCGGAATGGAAACGAACTAGTGAATTTGCTATAAAATGGTAAAATGACGCCACATTTTGTAATATTTTAAAACTAGAACTATGCCTTTTAGATATAGTAGCTATATTTGCTTAGTTAGGTATAACTGATTTATGAGTGAAAAGTGGGCTGGACCATTAATCCTTAAAAAGGGGACAGGACACAAGCTAGTGAATTTTCTAGAAAATGGTAACTGACGCCACATTTGGTAACATTTTAAAACTATAACTATAGTAACTATATTTGCTTCGTTAGGTAACTAAATTATGAGTGAAGGCTAGACCCATTTATTCTTTTCAACATACAAGTATATAAGGTATAGAGAGCTCATGGTTCTTTTGATAAATAACTTTTTGCTCGAAGGAAGTGGCTGGAACTTTATTTGAGCTCTCATCAATTTAAGCTTCAGGTTAAAATTTACTTTGTTCATAGTAAACATTTTTTTTGTTGATAAGGATATGCTAGAACTTGATAACGATATGATGTAGAGTCCAAATGGAGCAGATGTGATGAGAGAATCTACACATCTGTGATGATGGTCACATCCATTTTCATTTAACTGCTTTCTTTTGCTCTTTAAGTCCAATTTGTCATGTTATATGATATGATTTTTCTTGATCTTATTTAGATAGGCTTGAAAGATTCAACCTTGTTTGGTATTTTTGATCTTCCCTGGACTGACTCAAAAAATTTCATATGTTTTCAGCTTTGCAATTGTTAACTTCCATAGTAATTATTGATGGAACCGAATCACACAAAATCTAGTGACTGTTATGCTGCTGATATCTCCTCCATCAGGGCAGCTCAAGTACGCATTAAGCCCTTTGCGCAACAAACTCCTGTGCTCACCTCAGACACTTTAGATTCTATTGCTGGAAGAAAGCTGTACTTCAAATGTGAATGCTTTCAAAAGGGGTGAGAAACTCTTTAACATAGAACGTCCGTTCCAATGTAAGCGTGTTGTAGTTTCTGCTAATTAAGGGCCATTTGGTCGTGTAATTTATCAGGGGAGCTTTTAAATTCCGAGGGGCATGCAATGCTATTTTTTCACTTGATGATGATCAGGCCACTAAAGGAGTTGTAACTCATAGCAGGTGCTTTCTGGTTTCTGTAATAAAACTATCTTTATTTAATTTTTTGGATTATCCCCTAATCTACTTTCCGTCGAATTTAGTGGAAATCATGCTGCAGCTCTTTCTTTGGCTGCAAATCTACGGGGCATCCCCGCATATATAGTTGTACCAAAAGATGCTCCAAAATGCAAAGTCGCGAATGTCAAACGTTATGGTGGTCATGTTATCTTCAGTGAGCCATCGATGCAGTCCCGGGAAGATACTGCAAACAAGGTGTTGCAAGATACTGGTGCTGTTCTTGTTCCGTCCTCTAATGATGGGCGCATTATAAGGTAACGCAAGTCTCACTTTTTTCGCTAGGAATCTACACAGAATGATCATCTCTACTAATGAATAGTTCTCTACTAATATGTTTCTTTACAGCGGGCAGGGTACAATATCTCTGGAGTTTCTGGAACAGGCTTCGGAAATTGACACTTTAATAGTCCCAATCAGTGGTAAATTCGACAATTTTAAGACTTCGATATATTGTTTTTCTTGAAATTTTAATTTGTAAATCAGCCTCATTTTCTGATTCGGAATGAAGGAGGTGGTATGATATCAGGAGTTGCATTGGCTGCCAAGGCCATCAATCCCGCCATTCGCATTTTGGCTGCCGAACCACTGGGGGCAAATGATGCTTTCCAATCAAAGAGCAATGGTAAGATTACTAAGTTATCTGAAGTCAACACTATTGCTGATGGCCTTCGAGCTTTTCTTGGCAATCTCACATGGTAAAGTCGAGCTCCTTCTACTATAAACTACTGTCTGCTTATTTTAAATCTCTTTTCATAGTCAAAATCAAACCTTTCTTGAACTTCTGGCATTTACCTTTAACCATCAAACAGGCCTATTGTCCGTGATCTCGTGGATGACGTTATAGTTGTTGATGATAAGGAGATAATACAAGCTATGAAACTTTGCTATGAAATTCTGAAAATTGCAGTGGAACCAAGTGGAGCTATAGGCCTTGCAGCTGTTCTTTCAGATGGTTTTCGAAAAAATCCAGTCTATAGTGAATGCAACCATATTGGAATTGTGCTTTCCGGAGGAAACGTTGATCTTGGTGTGCTCTGGAATTCGTTTGATAAATGAGAAACTCTGTTAGTCGCGAGAGGCAGATTCAGAATTTGAACTAGTAGTTCAACTCATTTGATTTACTGGATTCGGAATCAATAACTATTTGTTCTTCTTTAGTTAAGTTTTTTTTTTTTTATATATATATATATAATGTTCGATCCAAAGTTACTAGTTTCAGATGAATCTGTAACTTTCACTCTTATGTCCATCCTTGGAAACAGGTGTTATTCAATAATTCAACTTTTCTATTATTGATCATACTTTAAAATTTTCGTATCGTGAGGATTCATCATAATCTGATTGACTATATAAATTTTCATTTTTTTTTGGCCTGTTAACTACTTTCTAATAGTATTTGGTTTGAGCTGTCAGTGAGGATTCATATCGTCGATCCTAATTTGTTCTTAGACTACGACGTTATTGTTTTGTTGTTGTTATTGTTTTATTCTAGCATTGCATGTAAGTATTACTCATATAAATATTTCTTTTTATGTATAATATAGACAAACATGATCCTAATTTGTCTAATATTATATTGATTTGCATAAACAAACATGAAAAAATATTTTGACAAATTATTTGCTTGTATAAATCCAAAGTCGAGGATATAGATGTCAGTTGAAATCAAGTTGATAGTACATTGATGTATTATGTCTTATATATATAGATTATACTTTCATATAGATATAATATATAAACATGATTCTTAATTTGACTTTACGTGAACACTACGACCTTCAAATTCTGAATTCGAACTAGTGGTTTGAGTTTGGAATTCTATCACAACTCTTTGATTTACTAGGTTCGAAATCAATTGCTAGTTGTTACTACTTCCGGAGTCCATCCATCGAAATAAGTGTCATTCAAATTAACATGTTTTGACGGTAATATCAAATATGCTATTAGCTTATTAACCATATAATGTTTATTTTATTTTCTTTCTACCATAAGTTGATATTAACAATTATTGACAGTAATACTAAATATGTTCTTTGCTTAATAACCATATGATTTTGTTTTTATTCTCTTTCTACCATTAGTTGATATTAACAGATTTTGACAGTAATATCAAATATGCTCTTAGTTTATTAACCGTATAATGTTGTTTTTGTTTTCTTTCTACCATAAGTTGATATTAACGAATTTTGACAGCAATATCAAATATGCTCTTAGCTTATTAATCATATGATTTTGTTTTTATTCTCTTTCTACCATAAGTTGATATTGCAGTAATATCAAATATGCTCTTAGCTTATTAAACGTATAATGTTATATACGGTTAATAACACATATCATTAATCTTTCCTATACAGAGGAATTAAAGAATAGTCGGAACATAAAAATATATCGCTTACAATATTACTTTGTATGTTTACAAAAAAAAAAAATTATTACTTCATAATCATATAGAAATAATTTTACTAGTCCGTGTACTCATGTCAACATCTCTTTCAAAAATTTGATAAAATAAAATAAATATTTAAAAAAGAATTTTCCCTTAAACATATGAGTTAGGGGTGAGTATGGTATGGTGTATATCGAAATCAAAATTTTTAATAACGTGATTTTGATATTATGATATTTGGTATGGTATACATTTTAATTTTTTTAATATTTGATACTGTATTTGGTGTTTAGAAATAATAAACCGAAATAGCGAATATCATACAGAAGCATAATTTATATATATAATAAAATACTAACAAATATGAAACCTAGTATTATGTAAACTAAATGTTTATAAGACGAAACTTTGACTACTCTATTTTGATTGAAATTTAATTAATTAACAAAAAGAGTTGTTTATGCTTTATCTTGAATATATTTTCTTACACATGTAATTTGTTAGTATGATATAATTGAAACTTCTTTTTTCAATTCCTAATGTTTTATTATACAAATATATATTAGTAGAAGTTGAACAAACTATAGTTATCGATTTATCATATCCTTGAATATCAAATTCGAATTTTAAAATACCGAAATAAATTAGTATGATAATAGGAAATCAAAAAAATAAAAAAAAATAAGAACATCAGACTAAATACGGCGTCGTTTATCTTGTCTTCCTGTATTTCAACAAACTTTTTAGGGTTTTAGCGTCCCCTTCTCATCACTATGAGCTCTACAGCCATGGATACCCAACCCCCTCCTCCGCCACCATGTTGGAGCAACATAGTGAAGCAACAACCGCCGCCACGGCCACCACCGCAAATTACTACTACTCCGGCCACCGTCACTGCCGCCGTAGCTGCAGAAACGGCGGCGAAGGTAGGTAATGGAGTTATGGTAGGGAGCTGTAAGTCGACGAAGGGGATAGCAGTGGCTGTGGTAGATGCAAACGCTATAATTCAAGGCGGAGATAAGCTGAATCATTCGGCTGATCGGTTTGTTACTGTACCTGAAGTGCTTGCGGAGATTCGTGACCGGAACTCCCGTCATTCACTCAATTTACTTCCGTTCACTATTGATACCACGGAGCCTTCCCCTGATTCTCTTAAAAAAGGTTGGAATTTTTTTTTTTTTTTTTTTTTTGGTATTAGGTATCCGGTGGAATAATCGAGTTGCAAACAACCTGTGTTTATGTATCGGGGCTCGAACTCGTGACCTATGGTTAAGTGTTTTGTTGAATGTATAGTTTGGTAGATTTGTTAGAAAATATTATTTTGATTGCTTTGGTTTAGTTACATCTTACATGTAAGTGATTCCACTTATTCGCTTTTAACTCTCTGTTTGGATGGTTGTTACTTATTGTTTATGGTATTGTATTGCATTGTGTTGTATTATATCATACTAATGAACATTTAAGATTGTATCGCGCTCAACATAAAAGAGAAGTTATATGCTAGCCATCTATCTATATAAAAATGGATTTAAACGATGTAAATACATTAAAAGTTACAGTCAAAACAAATATTGTATTTAAACTAATAATATAGTACAACGGGTAACAACCATCCAAACAAGGTGTAGAGATTGATCGTTTGATTGACTAGTTATATTCTAGTCATCTATCTATATTAAAAGCCTCATCTTTAATTTGGGCTTGGGATCGACAGAGCGAATAAGCTCACAAAGGCTACTGTGTGTTTTGGGTGGTTGGAGGTGTTAGGAAAAAATATTTTATCTTGCTGAAAGAAACACCAAGGATATTTGTTGAATATGTTGTGTTACCTGGCTTTGCAGTTATCAGCTTTGCAAGGAGTACTGGTGATTTGCACACACTTTCTGATGTGGATCTCAAGCTCATTGCTTTAACTTACACATTGCACGCTCAATTTCATGGAACTCAACAGCTCCGAGATTGCCCTCCAGCTATTCACATGATTAATGTAAAAAGGTTGCCGGAGAAGGACTTGCCTGGATGGGGCGCTAACATCTCTAATCCGGAAGAATGGGAAGCAATAGAACATGCACTTGATGAAGGAGCAGACACTACCTCTAGAATTCTTCCCTTGAAAGATTTGAGCTTGAATGTTATTCCTCTTGATCAACAAAGTGGTAGAGATGGTTCTGTCGTGAATGGTGGTGATTCTCATTCTGAGAATCAGATGGATTTCGATGATGGCTTCAGTAAACCTCAAAAGTACTTGCCACAGAAAAAAGAGGTGAAGATTGATGGTAAGAAGATGGTTGCTGATGGAATTGATGCATCACAGGGACAATATGACGATCATGGTGATGATTGGCTACCTGCTGTGAGCAGAAGTACTCATAGGAGATTTCTCAGGCGAAAAGCTAGACGTGAAATGTCTGAAACATCATCTAAAGTGGATGATTTACAAGATGCAACTGAAAATACAGTCGATGAAAACCTCGAGAACTGTCAATGCGATGATATCTCTATGCACCAAATCCCTGAAGAAAATCCTGAGGCTAATGCCGAGGATGGTAATGTTTCTGAAGTAAGAGAAGGTGAAGAAAAATTGTCTACGATTTTGTCTCAGATGCGGCTTGAAGAAGATTCTGCTAAAGCTCTTCAAGATGACGCAGATGTAAACATTTCCAATGAGGGGCCTGAATCAAATGATGCTAATCAAGACGGTAAAGAATTTGAAGAAGATGAAGGGGAGGATTTCGTCTGTGCAGATGTAGGAGCGGAATATGCGGAGATGTCCAGCCAGATGGATGAGAGCGTTGAGACATCGTTTGTGGATGATAACAGCAGTGAACAAAGTTGGATGTTAAAATCTTTGTCCGAATCAAGTGTGGCCTGTGTGACAGCTGATTATGCAATGCAAAATGTTATTCTTCAAATGGGTTTACGCCTTGTGGCACCTGGAGGAATGCAGATCCGTGAGCTGCACAGGTATGTAAAAGCTGTTGTAATATCCATTGTCTATTATTCATGTCATAAAAGTTGCCAGAGTTGTTATGATTGCTGCAAGCGGACTATTGACATACTCCGAATGATCCAGTTAATACACTGCTGCCTTAGATGTTAGGAATCCTATTATTTGATTGCATCATTTGCTTATAGTAGCGTATCTGTTTTCAGGTGGGTACTGAAATGCCATGCCTGCTATAAAGTGACAACAGATGTTACTAAGATTTTCTGTCCCAATTGTGGAAATGGGGGCACTTTACGCAAGGTAGCAGTGACTGTTGGCGAAAATGGTATTGTGATTGCAGCACGCAGACCACGTATATCCTTGCGAGGGACAAAGGTGAGAATGACATCTCCTTTTCTAAATATGTCCGACTGTTACACTTCTATAAATCATAACAGCAGCCTAATTAAAAACTGTAACTTGAGTAATATGCTGAGATAAGTTCATATTTGTCATTGCTTCTGTACATTATTATTTTTTTCCCCAATCGAATTACAACAGAATGCATTCAAGAATCAAATTTGAGTGGTCTGTGAAGCATAACCATGAAAGTTCTCTCTAAATTTTAGTTAGTGATTTTGTGTTAGTTACACCCTACACACGTGGAGGGGACTTCTACATGTAACCAATGCTTGGAATCCTCTCTTGTCCAATTTCATGCTCGGACGCATCAAAAATGTTATTGAATCCGTGTGGGATCCTCCAAAAATGCATAATAGCATTTTGGGGGATCTGGCGCACACTCAGATAATATTTTTGAACTCAGTCCGAGCAACGTAGCTAGAATGTTAAACATTTTTGCTGATTGCTCCCTTTGCAGTTCTCCCTGCCTTTACCTCAAGGGGGTAGAGGTGCTGTTACCAAGAACCCAGTGTTACGCGAGGACCAGCTTCCGCAGAAGTATCTTTATCCTAAAACAAAGAAGAAGAACAAGGTTGGTTTCAGCAAAGATGTTCCTTTTTTTTCTTTTTTCTTTTCAAGTAATATGAGGAACATTACATTTTCGCGCTGCGTGAGAAGTTGAGTTGATTCGTTTGTTCTCTGTAGGGAGATGACAACATATTTACTCCGGACACTATTTTTCTCAACCATACTAGTAAGAAGGCTCCTCTGCAGCCCCCTGTTCGCAAGGCACTAGCTGTTTTCAGCG